ACACACACAGCTATCTCACCCAAGGCTGGGGCAAGGGAGGGGATGGGCTCTTGACTGGTAGCTGTTCATCTTCAGATGCATTGACCCCACCTAATCAGCACGCAGAGAGACATGCTGAGGAATGGGGACAAAATAGTGGAACAAGTGTCCCAGAGTCTAAAAGACTCGGTCTGAATTCTGATCTCTGTCCTTCAGTTCCTTTTCTGTAAAATGGGAATACTAGTCCCTAGCTCGCAGGGTGTCTAGGACTCAGCTGAATAAACGTAACTATCTCGAGAAGGAAACAAAAGGCATTGGTTACCACTGGAGGCCTGCTACCTGGGAGTGGGCAGGAAAACTAATTTTTTACCCTTTGAACTCATGTACATGAATTTGCCCATTCAAAAATAATTTTGTGGGCTGGGGATATAGCTCAATTGGTAGCGTGCTTGCCTTGCATACACAAGGCCCTGGGTTCAATCCCCAGCACCACAAAAAAATATATATATTTTCTTTTTCATAAGTGAGGTTATTGTTATTATTTACATATTGGTACTCAATAATTTTTGTGTATGTGGGGGGTGTGGGTGTGGGTGTATGTAGTACTAGGGACTGAACTCAGAGGTGTTCTACCACTGAGTTACATCCTCAGACCTTTAAAAAAAATTTTTTTTTTAATTTAGTGAGACAGGGTCTCACTAAGTTGCCAAGACTGGGTTAGAACTTGTGAGCCTCCTGCCTCAACTAGGATTCTAGGTGTTCACCACCCTGCTCTGCTAATAAATAGTTTTTAAAGTTATGATACAGTTAGTATGTGTGAGGTTCTGGGTTCAATACCCACCCTCTAAAAGAAGTTGTGAGACAGTACCCCCCCCCATTCTGACTTCAAACCACCTCTGTTCCCCAGTGTCAAGTCATAGCACAGGCTGCAACCCAAAAGGCAGGTGGAAAAAGAATGGGCTTTAGATTCAGACATGGTGACGAGTCTTGTGTCCCCCATTTCCTAGGTTGCCTTGGGCAAGTTTCTGTGCCTCTGTTTCTTTAGTTCTAAGAGGAGGCTATAGGCTGCGGGTGTAGCTCAGTGGTAAACTGCTTGCCTAGTATGTGCAAGGCCCTGGGTTCCATCCCCAGCACTGCAGGAATGAATGAATATACGAATGAATGCATACATGGAGGCTAGTGGTCTCTCCGCTACCAGTTGCCACAGGATTTAATAAGATCAGAGCTGAATCAGAGGGAGCAGGGGGGAACCTGGTACTCACTGCTCTGAACACTGTACACATATGGCTCATTGCATCTCTTATCCCATTGGACAGATGAGGACTAGGAGGCTCTAGCAGGGGAGGTTCAGCTGTGAACCCAGGCAGTGGGGGTTAGTGTCCCCAGATACTCTACCACCCTGCCTCTCCTGCCATGCTACATATTTAGAAGAACCCCTGGTACATGGAAGCTGCTCTAGAAATTCTGGTTGGGATTGTTATTGATACATGCCAAGATCTTTCCTCAGCCATCTGGTTAAACACCTGGGAGCCCGACCACTTGATCACTCACGCACACATTCAGGGGTCACTCTTAGCCACACAGTGCAGAGGATTTGAGACACTCTGCCTCATTTCTCCCACATCCACCAATATCATAGCCAATCCTCTCAGTCCTGGGGCAGTGATGCTCCTTGCTCATACCCTCAGCTCCTCTGTGTGGTTCTGGTGACTTCTGACACCTTCCTTGTCTTATGGCAACTGGTTGAAGCCTACACTAGGTCTGCCAGGGCATTTATAGCAATGCAGTTACAACTTAGGGACAACCTTCCCCCAAATCCCAAGCTCAGCAAACTTAAAACTCCCCCACCCTCCACCACCACAGCCAAGCAGATTTTAGACAACTCACTGTAAGAGACAAGATGCTCCTTCTTACAGTCAGTAGCACAAATGTGAGGCCTACCAACCATGGCAATTTGCCAGACCCCACCATCACCACTACCACAGCCGCTCCTGATGGCCAACTTGGTGCTAATGGAGGACAGGCAGGGGTTACTGCCACATATCAGCTGGATGGCCTGGGCCTTGGCTTGCACACACAGTTCAAAATCAACATTCAGCTCATCCCACTAGAACCCAACTGAGTGAGAGGGGATGGTTCTAGGCCACCCTGGATAATGTACCAAACATAATCGGCTTATGAATAATTGAGCTTATTGTTAGTGTCAATGTCTAAAGCCGTGGCTGAAATTTCTCCTAGATTTCCAAGGAGAGGAAGGCCCTGTTGGAAAAGTAACTCAAGACTTCATTTCCTATACTTCGGTCCTTGAGTGAGAAGCAACCCCCAAACCTTCAGTTCCTTCTCTGTCCGCCCGCTGCCCCTCCTCTGCCCCCAGCACACGTCACACCTGGAGACACACAGGCCCTCAATTAGGGTATGGAGAGATGCTGAGCAGGCCCTCAATTAGGGTAGGAGAGATGCTGAGCAGAAGCGGTTTCAGGAAGTCCGGACCTGACTCCTAACCTACTTCCCAGTCCCGGCAGCAGCCACCTCTGGGACCACACCAGGAGAGGAGCTTTCATTTCAGGTTGAAATCCAGCTGACTGGAAATGTCCTCTGGCCCTACTCACTTCCTACCATGGAGGCCTTGCCTAGAAGCACTGGACTTCATTCTCTCCCAGAGAAGTAATTCAGCAGCCCACCCTGGCCCAGCCGGGGGGCTCCTGAACGTGGGAAGGCCCTACGCCCACCATAGCAGAGGGCATGCTGCTCCAGAGCAGTAGCTGGTTATGCCACAGAGCTACACAGGAGAGGAGGGGCTTGGAGAGTCACACCCACAGGCACATGTCCCAGGCCACATCTGGGGCCAGATAAGGAGAAGTAATGGAACAAGAGCTCAGGGCAGGGCCAGCAGCTGCTTGGTTGTGAGAGGAGGAAGCAGCAGCTGGATGTGGTGGTGGGGAGTAGGAAGCGGGGTAATGTCTTCCTCATAGGATGGGGAATGGAGGGAAGGAAAACAAAAGTCACCTTCCCCTTCACAGACACCCAAAATAGCCTGGGGCCACCTCTGGCCTCAAAACAGACATCCACCACAACAGAGTCCCTGCTCAGGACTACCCAGAACTCCACCTCTCATTGCCACGCCCCATCAGGGAGCCTATGTCTGGAACAGCAGGCCAAACCACATCTGCTCAGCCCTTGTTTACACACAGTGCCCACCTTACATGGTAGGTGATCAGAATCCTTCAATAAAGGATCCTTTCTGAAGACATGCTCACAGGGGATGCAGGGGGGTAGGTCACGTACATCTGGAACCCTGCAGAGACAGATGACCCCCTAAGGGCTCCAGAGTGTTACCTGTATCCTGTCTTCAGGCAGCTCCGTTTTCATGGCCAGCATCTCCCGGGCATAGACATCTGGGTAGTGGGCCTCATTGAATGCCTTCTCCAGCTCCTCTAGCTGGTAGGAAGTAAAGATTGTCCTGAGGGGAGCAAGATAGGACACTCAGGACCTCAGAAACCAGAAGAGCCTGACTTTGAAGAGAACAGAATAACAGAATGGCCCCTCTCCCAAGGCTCAGAGACAGATCCCAAACCCAGGCTGGCTTGGCACAACCCAGTCAACATAGTCTCTGTCTCTCTGTCTCTCTCTCTCTCTGTCTCTCTCTCTCTCTCTCTCTCTGTCTCTCTCTCTCTCTCTCACACACACACACACACACACACACACACACACACAGATAGCTTAATAGTCTGGACTCTTCATTCAAGGCTGAGAGCCCACACCATCCTTCTGGTGAGGGGTGGGCACTATTTCAGCCCTGAGTATGGCTCTGGAGACAGTCTGGTGTTAAGGAAGAAATTCTGAAGACCACAGAAAGCCCCTCCTACTCCCAAGCACAGAAAGTAGACCTCACCAGATAATTACATGCCGACCTGCTTCCTGGGCTCCTCTCAGACACTACAGTTGACTTTAAATCCACTCAGAGTTCCAGGTTTCCCTGAAGGTCAGATGAAGCTTCAGCCTCAGTGTTTGCATGGCCAAGACCTGAACCCCCACCTGCTCAGCTGACCCCAACACTCCTTCCTGCTCACCTGCCCTTCCTCTCCCAACACCAGACCTACCGACTGCTTAGAGTTGCCCTCAGGGGACTTTCCTCAGTCCCCTCCAGGTGCCACTTTCCAATCAACCCCCACACTGAGTCCACCTCTTGGCTGAAAGTCCCATTCAAGCCTCCTTGGCCCCCGACTGAGCAGTTCCCATTGACCTGTTTTGTGTCAAAAACTGCTTTAGGGATCTAGTTAAAGGTACATTCCCTCACACTAAGAAAATGAGCAAACAAACATGCCCCAACACATAAAATCTCACCTCCGGTATTAGGGGGTTCCTAAACCACCTTTTTTTAAAATAAACCACTAAACGCCCATTTCCAGATACAAACTCTTCTTTTAATTTCTCTAGGATTTAGGTGACCTTTATCCTGCATCCTTATCAACAAGCCAATAGACAGGTGTGCTCCAGTTTCCACAAACTGAATTTGTAAAATCGGTACATCCCTTGCTTGAGCCCCTGGGATTGGACCCTGGGGCCAGCACAGAGGGGTTAGAATGCCTCACTGCTGAGCCCTCACGCTCACCAAACAGGAAAACACGAGAAAGCCCCACATATTCCTTGTGCTGGTGTCTGCTTTAATATCTCAGGGATGATGCAGGGAGTGTGAGAGGAAGACAGAAAATGACTGGTTTGACTCTAAATCGTTCCATCTGTTCTCTTGAGGGGGATGTGTGGAATTCTTATGTATATGGAAAGTTTAATTCTTAAGAATTTTGAAGATCTGCTGCTTTCTATTTGTCTTCTACCATTTGCTAAAGGGCTCCGGAACTGGTCATCAAAATAAACAATCAATATATGCAAGTCCTTTTCAAAACCAGGAAAACTGAGTTACACAGGTAGTGTGACCTGGCCAAAGTCAGAGGAAAGCTGATTAGAGGTCATTGTGAGTGGCTGCCTCTACTTGGAAGAGCACCCCATTAAGAAAAAACAAAAACAAACTTCAAATCCCCCCAACTTCCCCTATTCTTGCCCCAGAACTGGACCATGTGTCATATTCTCCATACAGGTCCTCCTTTGCCCACTATGTGACCCAAACTTTGCTCCTGGTTTAGCTAGAGTCCCAGGTCCTTCAATCCTGTTGTATCCAGTCTGAAGAGGAGCTGAGCTTTCCAAGAAGAGCAAAATCCCGGAAACTCTCCCCATCGCTGCTCCACCCCCACCCCCACCCCCACCAAACCCTGCTAAACCTGGTTTGTTTCCTGGGGAGATAAAGACAACCCCATCACTCATCACCAGATTCCAGGGGCTCTTCCCCCAAATTCCCTAATGAGAAAAACTCAGGAAAATGTTTTTATTTTTTTTCCCCCTAACTAAAAACCGTACCAAGGAGTAGGGGGCTTAGTTCCGTGGCAGAGGGCTTGCCTAGCTTTGTGCAAAGTCTTGGATTTAATTCCGACAATAAATAAATAAATAAATAAATACTGCACCAGCCATCAGTAGCCATTCTCCTCTCCAATAATCTGCAGCCTTCATGCACCAGAAATAGAAACCCAAGAGAGTTAATTCTCTGATGTTGGTGAGTTGCTATTCTGCCCCTCTGGGAATTCACCAAAGCCCCCAGAGGTCTTTGGGGAGAGGGTCGCAGGGTCATTCCTTATACCATTCCAGTACCAGAATTTGAGGGATAATTTGAAATATCTAGGGGAACCTGTACTCCATATTCCACAGTCAGCACAGTAGCAGCAGGCTACCTCCACATTCTTGTCCTGGTTTGGGGAGGCTGACAGGATTACACACCCTGGAACCAGCAAGAGAAGGTGCATCAGCGGTGTTTTATGAATATTCGTTGAATTTTAAAAGTATGAGGAACAGGACTAATAAAAAACGTTTCCACTTAAAATAAGCAAAGAAAGCAAATAACTGCCCAAGGAAAATGAATCCATCGAAGAGAAACCAAGTCGAAGTTCACCTTCCTTCAAGCAGGAACCTATTGGGGCCTGAGAGGTCAGGAAGGGCCGTTTACAAAAATGGGGGTCAACAGTGGAACTTCCAAGGGCGAAGGAAGAAGAAGGGGCAGAGAGAGAGAGCCTACAAAGAGGCTTGGGAACAAATTGGGGAGAGAGGAGAAGATGAGACGAGGCAGGGATCCAGGGAGCTCCCCAATGGGAAAATGTCCAGTGGGATCCCATTAGCGACCCACCTGGACTGGGGCAAAGAAAGAGTTGGGAAAACAGCCCCGCTGGGGAGGGAGCGCAGGCACAGCACTCGCAGAAAGACGGGCAGATTTTTGCTTCTCGCCCCTTTATTTTCTTAAAAAAAAATCTTCCCATGAACTTACACAAGGAGTGAGTAGCAGTGGTGCTGATGCCAAAGGGCAACCGGCCTCTGGGGGGGTGGTGCAGGAAAAGGGTGATTGCTTTTTAGGACATACCCTTCGGCAACTATTGAATTTTAACTTCGTGCAAGTAATGTCTATTTAAAGACACTTAACTCTCTCCCTGGTCTGCCCTCCAATGCAGTCCACCCCACTTCGGTGGGTCTGTTGGGACCCCCCTATTTTACAGACTAGGAAACTGAGGTTCACATAAAGGTAGCAACTCTCAGAAGCACAAAATAACAGAAGCCAAAAGAATACGTTCCATAAGCGCAGATATCGCTCGAGCTTTGGTGAACGGTGGGAGCAGAAGACTGGGGAGTTGGCAGAGAAGAATGGGGGTCGGGGCCAGAGAAAAAAATGTAAAAAGGTGCGCTTCAGTGGGAGGTGGGGGCCCAATCTGCCCGCCGCCAGGTCTGCGTGGCTCTCAAAATGTGCTGCGGCCAGGAAGTGGGGACCGCCGACCCCTCTCCAGCTCGGGTTTGGCCCAGGTTGGGGCCTTTCCTTTCTCCTGCGGAGGGAGGCGAAAGCCGGACCAGTTGGGAAAGCAGCCCCGCGGCGGAGCTGCGCAGGCTGCTCCGGCGGCCCCTCAGCATCCTCACCTGGTGCGGCTAGACGCCATCGCCCAGGCAGATTCCCACAAACGACGCCGGGTCTCTCGGCCCCACTACGGCCCCGGGCTTCAGCTCTGGGGTCCGCGAAAATAAGACCCGAGACCGGAGCAGGGGACCGCAGGGGAGCGGATGGGCAGGAGCAGTAACCGAAAGCGCCGCGGGGGTCTTACCTGTGTCGCCGCTTCTTCCGTTTCTTAGTCTGGTTTAGAGCCGATTTGGACATTTTTCGGTCACTGGAGGAAACATCTTCAGAATCTGAAAAGCGGGTGGAGGGACATGCAGCAGAATGGGGAGAGCGCTCTGCGGCACCCGAAACCGGTGAGGGCCCCACCCCCGGCCGCCTGCGCGAGCCGTGCGGGCCTGCGGTCTCCCTGGAAGCCCTCAGGGACTCCAGTGGCTGTCCCCATCCCTAAGCCCAAGATGGCCCCACCAAGGTCGGCGCCTCAATCTGGGGAATCTGAACAGATTTCGTTGCAAGAGAGGCAAAGGCCCCGGAGTCTTGGGGGAAGGGACGGTCGGAGAACCCGGCAGCCTCACGGGGTCGCAGGGACCCCCGGGTCTGCTCTCTTCCCTGCGCCTGCAGCCCTGGCGTCCCGAGTCAGAAAGTTGGCCCGGAGGAGCGGACTCGTGTCGCCGGGAGCTGAGCCCCGGAAAGGGCTGGTCGCTGTAGATTTCGCGATGCCCCCACAATGTGCCCCCGACTTGAAATCGGAGAGCCTGCATCGAACCACTTTTCGTTGCCCTTTCAAAAAAAAAAAAAAAAAAGAAGAAGAAGAAGAAGAATAAAACGAACGAAAATTTGGGGAAATTGCGTAGAGGGCACAAAAGCCGGTGGAAGAAGACCAAAACGGTCGGCTAGGAAAGTGGCCGAGGGAGGGCGTGGCGGGGTCATCTAGGGTCCTGGGCCAGCGAAGCGCCGAGATCCGATAAATTGTGACGCTTACACAGGATCCGATGGCGGCCACTTCGGCTGGCTGGGTGGCCTGGTTCTCCAAGTTCGTGGGGTGAAAAATAAACCCCAGCTGAACAATGAGGGGAGGGAGGAATGAAGAAAGGGGGAGGAAAATTGCAACTTTGGACACCAGGGCTGGGGCCAGAGCCTGCACCCGCTTCCTGGGCCGCCAGCGCGCGGAACAACATCGAGCTCCAGGAGCGCGGATCCTCCCAGAGGCCTGGACCGCATCGGAACGGCAGAGCTGGGAAGCTCCAGGCCTCCGGCAGACCCAGCTCCACGGGTCTGACATCCCAAGCCGGGGATCCACTGGGGCCCCAACCCAGCGCTGCGCCCCAGACCAGCCTGACTCAGGGTCACGGGAACTAACAGCAGTTGGAAATGCTGGGGCCCAAACCCAGCCGGCGCCAGAGCATCCTCCGGGTCCTGCTCCCGGGTCGGTTGGCTCCAGGGCCGAGCTGCGTGCGACTCCTCGGCCTGCAGGAACTTTTCCACCTGGAGGAGGCCTTGTCCGGCAGACGAGAGCCGACGGCGCGGGGTTCCCGACTGACGCCCGCCATCGACCTCGTAGCCTCGCCCGCACCTACCCGAGCTGGCCGTCTGGCTGTTGTCCAGCGGCCCCGACGCTCTGCCCAGTGGCTGTAAGTGGACGCTCTGAGGGTCGGACAGCACTTCCAGGAAGGTGGGCTGCGCGTAGAAGCCGGGAAGCCCTCCGGGCCCCAGCAGCCCCATGCTGCCCACTCCTGCAGGGCTGAGCACGGAGCGCGCAGCCAGCAAGTGCCCAGGGGCCAGGCCGTCGAGGGCAGCTCGCGGGTGGGAGCTCGGGGGCTCCTTGTTCAAGCCCAGGATCTCCTGGATGCCGAACCCTGTGCACCTGGCCGGGGCGCCCCCCGAGGTACTCTTGGCTACTGTCTCAGATTTGGGCTTGCTCAGCGCTTCCCCCGTTTTCCCCGTCATCTCCCGGTTCTTTGGAGGGGCTGAGGCTGCAGGTCTTTTGCTCCCCCCACCCCCCCACCGGGCTCCCTGCTTGGCAAAGTTGGTCCCAGGTGCCCCCTCCGGTGTCTAATGCTCTGGAGCCCCAAGGAGATTCCCCTTTTATCCAACCAGGCGGCAGCCCAAGTGGGGTCAGAGCTGAACAGCCAATCACCGGGGCCAGGAGCGATTAGGAATTCCAAAAAGCTGGCAGCTCCCGCCGCAGGCAGCGCGGAGGGGCCAGGGCGCTGCGGGTCTGAGTGCTGGTGGGCTCTGCAGAATGCCCTAGGGCAGGGACCCCAGGGGCCGAGGTAAAACAAGAATCCGGGAGGCAGAGTGGGTAAGGGTTCTGAGCACATCCTGGCTAGGACCTGTCCCTGGGGACAGGTACCTGGGGTCGGGTGGGAGGATGGGCTAAAGGCATAAACTAGAAACTGGGAGACCTCCTCCCTCCCTTAACTCTTAGGACGAACAGCAGCCTTAAACGGGCCCAATTTGAAGATGCCTGTGTAAAGGGGGACAAGGGAAGGGTGAGGGCTCTGGACAGTGTGGTGGCAATGGGGATAAAAGAAGGGGCCAAGATGTGGAGAAGGAAACTGTTGGAGGACTTGTCAAGGCTTGTCTCCCAGCACAGGTTAAAATGCCTAGTTCAGGAGAGCTGTTCAATAAATACAGACCCAATGAAGGAATGCATAATAAAGGGGTTAGGATGAGGGCTCTCTGGTGGGAAACAGAAGCTGTGAAGACTTCTTTGAAGGACCATGGACTTCTGAACATCTTCCTCGAGTAAGCATGAAGAGTGGTCTTCGTCTATTCTGCCACCTAGTCATTCAACTAACATGTACAGAGCACCTACCAGCTCTGAGCTAGAGGACCTAAGGGTTCTGCAGTAAATCAGACGGACAAGGCAAAGGGCCTGCTATACTTCAGAGTTCATTGAGCAAACAGAATGAAGAGGCTGGGACTGTTGATGTGAAGGGAGAGGGAGAAGGGAGGGGTGAGAGGCAATTAGAAGGGGAGCTGCTTTCCCCAGTTGATGGAGACCCTGTGATCACCTCCTGCACCGGAAGGGCAGCCAGCGGTACCAGCTGAAAGCAGCGGGAGGCTGCAGGAAACTGCTTTCGACAGGATGGGACCAACTGGGTAGGAACCTCCAATGGAGAGGAGGAACGCCTGAATTCTAAATATGGCAGTGTAGCTACTGGCTTCCACGGAGCTCTTGCTTGAGGGCTCAGAGGAGAACACGGTCCAAGTGCCATTAGTGAAGGTGAATGCGCCCATCACACACACTGCACAAGCTGCAGTGTATCCCTGAGGTCCCACATGGGCCACCTCTAGCTCTGCTGTGACTTTTTTAAGGCTGGAAATTGTCTTGCCTGTCTTGGGACTCCTCTCTCTACTGTTCCTTGCATATAGTAGAGTTTTTTTTTTTTCCTTTGGGGGGGGGTGTGTGTGCCAGGGATTGAACACAAGGGCACTTGATCACTGAGTCACATCCCCAGCCCTATTTTGTATTTTATTTAGAGACAGGGTCTCACTGAGTTGTTTAGTGCCTCACTTTTGCTGAGGCTGGCTTTGAACTCATGATCCTCCTGCCTCAGCCTCCCAAGCTGCTGGGATTATAAGTATGTGCCACCATATCCAGCCTTATAGGTTTTAATAAAAGTTTCTTGACTGAAAAACATGCTATGAAGGGAGGTAAAGAAAAGATCACTTTTTTTGGGCAGAGGTTAGAAACCCAAGCTGAGAAGAGATTCTATTCAGGATTTTTTTTTTTTGGCCAGTCAGCTGTTAAACCCCCACATAGAGCGAAACCTTGTAACCATCCTCCGCCCAATGCCAGGGTGTCTGGTATCCTCTGTGGCCACCATGGGGCCAGACTGAGAGGTTAGAAGAAACCCTACAGGAGGTGAAACGGAGAACTTGCTAAAGAGCTGTGGTGAGGTGGGTCTGCATCCCCTCTGGTGAATGAGAGCTGGAATTCGTCAGGGGCTTACAGTGCAGGAGCCACGTAGAAGAGGGGAGCCTTAACCCATAATAATGCCGTGTCCGCCAGTGCACCTCCACGGCCCCAGCCCCTTTCCTTAGTATGACCTCTGGTCCTCACAACAGCCCCACAGCACCTTGGCTCTGCATCTGAAAACTGACTTAGTAATTCTCACTTGCAAGATGCAGATGTGGGATATGCAGTCTTGAGTCACCTTCACCTTGTATTCTATGAAGCTGGGTACCAAAGTGGTACCACTCCCATAGACAATGTAAATGGTACCTCTGGAGCTATGCAGAATGGTGTCCTTGCCTGCCACAGAGGCATTTCTGGCCCCATTTTACAGCTACAGAAACTTAAGTTTCCTGAGAGGTTACCTAGCAAATAAGCAGCAGAGGTCAGACATCCACAACCATCTGATGTCAGAAGCTGCTCCTTTTTGACTTCATCTTTCTCTCTCAGCCTCTCTCCATACCAGCCTACCCTGGGAGGATGGATGGGATGTTATGTTAATGGCATCTGTCATGTCCCTGACTTATCACAAGACAGCCGTGATGAACCAGAAGCCAGCCGATGGGCAAAACGTGAGTGATAGAAAACTAGTGTGTGAGCGATGATGTTGGCTCTTGCGAGGAGATGAGGATGAAAAATCTCTTGACCAATCCCCATGTCTGAAGCAGCCGGTTCCCAATCCAAGGGGTCAGTCACCATTCTGCCACAAGAGATTGCCACAAGGGATAGTGTTATGCTTGAATTCGGGACCCCCAAAAGACCACCAGAGACCCAAGATCCATGTAAGCAGCAAAGAGGTGTTTATTGCGAGCTAGCTGGGTCCTCCATGCACACACAGCAACTGATGACGCTGAGAGGCCCCGAGCCCAGGGTTTGCAGCAGTTTTATACATTCTTTGGAGAAGGCAGGGATCCCCACATACATCACAGCATCTCTTAGCAAATCATCACACACCGCGGGAAAATCAAATAACAACTCTAAAACATGATTAGCACATTCACTGTCGAACAAGTTGGGTAGGGGTGATTGGTTACTATAAGAGGGGGATTTATTTGAACTGATTGGTTTAAGCCAAGAGGGGTGTACGTGCTGAACTACATGGTTTCCCAACACGTTATCAACCACCATAAACTACTAGGAGGGTCATCTGGCATCCCAGGTATTTCCCTGTCTCATGCTGATTGGTGGCTGCTAGGGGGCTGCTATGGGTCCCCACCTAGCCTGACTGAGTCGGGGACACCTGGCGCAGCAGATCTCTCCTGTTATTTGTAGATAAACCAGGGTGGGAATGTGCCTAGGAGTGCTCTGTGGGTCTTTCCAAAGACAAAGGTGATGTCCCTTCCTTGGACAGGCTTTGCTCTGAGGTAGAGGCTGGCTTTTCAATAGCCCCAGGCTCTCTGAGAGGCGCCCTTGTCAGAGGCTGCAGGTAGAGAGAGGGCCCAGGCTCAGCCTGCAGCCAGCCCGACCCTGGGAACTAGAGTCCTGACAGCCTCCTGTGGAGGTACTGTCTCTGAGCTTGGGGATGTCATTGTTCTTTCTCCACAGTTGCCAGACTCAAGTCACTTATGGAGCATGGGGGAGCCCTACAGGAAACTGTGTGTCCCAAAGCTTGGGCTAGGGGGTGGGGTGAAGTAAATCACAGCCTTTCAGAAGCATTAAGCTTGGTCACATTGGATCCAAATTTCAGGTTGGCTTTGGGTTGATCATTTAAACTTCTTTCTCAGCTTTAATTTCTTCTTTTTCTTTATTTCCCCAGTACTGGGGATTGAACCCAGAGGTACTGAGCTACATTCCCCAGCCCTTTCTATTTTATTTTATTATTTATTTATTTTTTAGTTGTAGTTGGATACAATACGTTTATTTTATTTATTTTTATGTGGTGCTAAGGATGAACCCAGGGCCTTGCACTTGCTAGGCAAGCACTCTACTGCTGACCCACAACCCCATCCCAGCCCTTTTAATTTTTTAATTTTAATTTTTGTGATGGTACTGGGGATTGAACTTTAAGCTTCATGCATGCTAGACAAGTGTTCCACCACTGAGCTATATCCCCAGCTCTTATTTATAATTTTGAGACAGTCTCACAAAGTTACCCAGGCTGGCCTGGGATATATGGTCCTCCTACTTTAGCCTCCTGAGTTTCTAGAATTATGATCATGAGCCATCGCACCTGCCACTTTTGATTTCTTACCTAAAAAAATAGCCTGCACCGGACTTGTGAACATCTCCTGACCTCCTGACTTAGCACAGGACATGATCTAGAATCCACAGTGGGTTCAGACTACTCCTGTCGCTTGCTTGGTAACTTTGGGAAAGCTATCCAACTTTTCTGTGCCTCAATTTCTTCACCTATCAAGTGAGAATAAAGGAAATACCTACCCCTTAGAACTGCACTAAGATTAGAAATGCACAGTGCTGAAAGCAGTCAATCAGGCTATTCCATGAGGGTCCATAATTAAAAAATAAAACCCTCTGCTGAGAGCCACAGCCGAGTTGGAATGATTGGCATTTGTGCCAGAAGGCAGTGGTAGAGAGGTGACACCTGCGAGCCATTGAGATAATGATGGTTATGTTAAGCTGTGTATTCAATTGTATATTAGACCCCTGCTGTCTGCCTTGGCCTGCTACTTTGGAGTTCTTCGGGGGATTCCTGGAGAGTTCGCATTGGTTGGGGAAGTGCTGCAGGAGGGATTTCCAGTGTGCGGTGTTCCTGGAAGGGCCTTGTGGGTGGCATTTGCGGGAGTTGGGATAATAAAGGAGTTCCTATTTTGAACCCACAAGTGCCTCATGGCGGCTCGGTTATTTTGTGCCCAGCCAAACTGCGGCACCCTCATGAGCATTCATCAACACCATCATGCAGGAGGACACTGGACTTGGCATTGGCAATATGGCAGGAAACAAGATAGACCTGCCTTCCTGGAACATGGGCCAGTGGTGGAAGGAGAGGGCATTAATGCACTTAGCATGGAGCGTGGCCCTGGAGACTGGTTAGAGTGTGGCCCTTACTATTATTACTAATGGCCACAAGGCCCCTTATCACATTTAATTCACTCAACTTCTCCAATAGGT